ACGTGGATATCATGAATATGAAAAAATAAATAAAATTTTAAAACTAAAAATAATAATTCTAATAAACATATATTTGGACAGTTAGTTTTCATTGTTTTTAAATAAACACCTAGTTGCGTCTACACTGTCTAGACCGCATATGTAAAAAAGCGGTCCAGCTCGCATGAAACAATTTTCCTTATTATAAACAAAATACAGAGGCAAAGGAGAGGATATAAAGCCACGCTATTTGGTATTTATTAAAATGTTGAGGATAAGTTTCCAAAATTATGTCCACCTTAGGTTGACTTTGATGTTTGTCTAATGTTTCCTATTCTTTTCTTTGTTTTTTTTTTTTGCCTTTCATAAAACGTTTTCCAGGCAAATCTTCCTCCACAAAATAATGGGAGAATTGCAGAAGAGGACAAAGAAAACAAAGAAAAAATGTCTAAAAAAAAGGACAAAAAAAAAAAAACAGACTCCTATAAACAAGAGCACTCTTTCTTATACATTTCTTACTTTTTAACTTTTGAAGTATTTGTTTTTGTTCTTTTGAGAAGTTCATTGTTCTGATGATCTGAGTTGGGTTTTTTTGCCTGTACAAACTGGTTTTTTTTTTCCTTGTTAATTTGGACTTTTTAGAGACAGATGATGGAGTTTTTGGTTCCTATTGTACTGGTTCTTGGTTGAATTCTTTTTTTTGACTACTCGGGTTTTTTTCCGGCTCAATCTTATTTTTTTCCCAAATAGTTTATTTTTCTAGAACGAACTTGTTTTAGCTTTAGAATTTCAATTGTGTGGATCTTCAAGCGCTTTGCACCGAAAATCTATTGCTGCAGTGAGTTTTTTATTTATTTTTATTTTTCCCATTTGTCTGTGAATTAAATTGATAATTCTTGAGCTTATGCTGCTTTGTGATTTTTCTCTACGACTTCTGCAAAATTTGATCCGTAAAGGAACTGACCCATCAAACTCAAAAAAGCTTAAATTTTCAGTTGTACTTTGTTCCCTGCTAGTTTCCCATAAGTATTGATAAAAAGAAATCTGGATTTTGCTTGCTAGAGCTAGGAGTTTCAAAACTAATCTTATTTGGTAGTCTCATATCAATGAGATTTTTTTGGGTAATTTCATATTAAGTAGATCTACTCGGATCTTTGATCATTTAAAACCCAATATTCTAAGTGAATTTTTCAAGGGGGAAAACAGGAAAGAAAGAAAAAGAATCCATCTTACCTGTAAAAGGTAGAAAACCCAATTCCACTTCCTCCTCCCAACTCCTTTTTTTTTGTTTTTTTGTTTTTGTTGAGAGTAACACCCAATTTCCATAAGTCCCTGAAAAAGAAGACATGGACCTTGTATGGGTTCTAGCTTTCTTCTCATTCTTGGCTGCTTTCTATGTAATTAAAAGCAAGATATCCAATGTTAATTTCCCTCCTGGACCTCCATCCCTGCCTTTTATTGGGCATTTTCACATCCTAAAGCCCCCACTTCATAGGACACTGTCTCATCTCTCTAAGAAATATGGCCCCATTTTTTGGCTTAGGCTTGGAATGAAACCTGTTGTGGTTGTCTCCTCACCTATTCTTGCAAAAGAATGCTTCACCACAAATGACATCGCCTTTGCATCTAGGCCTAGAACAGCTGCTGGGAAATACCTTGGATATGACTACATATCAGTTGTTTGGGCCCCATATGGTGATCACTGGCGAACATTGCGAAAAATTCAAACGGTCGAGCTTCTATCCTCGAAGAAAATTGAGATGTTTGCAAATGTTCGTCGTGAACAAGTTGCTGCGCTTTTCCAAAGTCTGCTTGAGTCTTCGGATGAAGGAGAGGTGGTGAACATGAAGGATAAGATCACTGAGACTATCTTTAGTGTAATTGTTAAGATAGTGGCCAACAAAAGTTATTATGGATGTGGGGTTGAGGATCTAGAGGTGGCAAAGGAATTCAGGGAAGTGATCGATGAGACATTTGTGTTGACAGGGAAGTTGAATTTGGGTGATTATATTCCATTCCTTAGGTGGATTGATCTTCAGGGCATGACCAGGCTTATGAAATTGTTGCAGAGGAGGAGAGATAGGATTATGCAGGGAATTGTGGATGAGCATAGGAAATTGAGAAGCAGTGGAGGCGGCCAGTTGAAGCCGGATTTTGTTCACTTGTTGCTTGATATGAAAGATAAGGATCCCGAGTATTTCACCGATGATTTGATCAAGAGTACAATTGTGGTATGTTTCTTCTCATCCAAACTTGTACTTGATTGATATGATTTGTCATTCTGATCTTCCAATTCTGGTTTTTGAAGATAAACTTTATAAAGGGTGGCTTTTCCTCTCATATGGATGGAACCTCTTGTCTTTGAGAATGACACCTTTGTTTTCTGAATAAAAATGTGCCACCTTTAATTGCAACTGCCAATCAGTGATTTAAGAATCAGAATCAGCCGATTAAAGGTGTCCAAATCCGACTCGACTATTGCAGGGGTCCGATTTGGACACCTTGTCGGGCTCTGCAATCGTCGAGTCGGACGGGCTACAGTTATAAACTAAAATGAAAAATAGAAAAGGTGGAATTGTAGTGCTTTGGAGGTTACTCAAATTAGATTCCCAAACCGCTTGATCGGGATTCGACTTGGGCAATACCGAGTGGGGTCAGCAATCTTTAAATCACTGATTGCAACCCCTATGACAAAGATTGCATTTTCACACCTCATCCACCTCAATGATATGGTCCTCTACTCACCATGCGTCTTTGCCCTCTCTCCTCAGAGCCATCTAACAGTCAAGGAAGAATCCCACAATCACATTTGGTGATATCCTTGATTCTGCATTCTTGCCATTTAAACTGAGAATTTGGAAGTGGTAACTAACTTTGAAATAATGTCGCACTGGATTGTGAAAGTATAGCATGGGTCTGTAGTAAGATTTTGATGAGATCTTCTAAATGCTAACCCTCATGGGATCGTTATTCATTTGATACATTAGCTTGCTCTGGTTCCTGCTGCCACTCTCGTGCAACTGTGTAACTAAAGGTAGCATCATGTGACATGTTCACATCTGTCACTCCATCCATTTCATGCCTATTCCCATGCAATTTATTTTTAGGACAAACTTCAAGATTGAGCTCATGTCAAACAAATATGTTTCCACCAAGCGGAAGCCTAAGGGATAGCTTCCTACTCCTGTGAATGTTGTGGAATTTGCTCTTGATCCCATTCATGTTAATTCTATCATGTTTCTAAGCCATATATTATTCTTTTGGATCCTTCCAATGCTACACTGAAGGCTATATACTGGTATTTAGGAATGTTGCTTGTGGCATATGTATCAGTTGTTTGCTTTAACTTAAATTCAATTTTTTTGTGCTGCATGTAGCTCCAAAAGTCTTTCTGTACCTGTTCCAAATAAAGTGATGATCTTCTCTTTGTGAATCTAGTAGCATGGGTCATTTAAAGCAAAGAAATCCTAATATGAGCTTCTCATGCTTTATGGGCTACATTGTTTGGATTGAACATACCTTTCGTCCCTTACGTTTGAGGGGATGCCAGGATCAAGAGATATCTGGATATCTGATTTCTCCTTTTTAGCTCTCCATTTAACTCTTAACCAGTGCCAGAAAACTCAGCGAGTCTTCTATGACTTGACCAAGTTACTCAAACTTGGTAGGCTGCCACATATGGAACCAAAACCATGGGAACTGGCCAAGTCTCACTTTTTCAAATTTAATTTTTTATGGACTTGGTGGATTCTCTGTCTGACTCGGCTGAGTTGAGTTGCCTGACTGAGGCTCGGTTTCCTAGTGAGCCTGACCATAGGCCTCGCTTTCAAAGCACTGGTCGTGATTAATCTCATTTGATTGGGCATTGGTTAGAGCTTAGATAAATGGATTCCCTTTTCCTTTTTGTACTTTGATGTATTACATAGACGTTGCTTGCATTCTTAATTCTTGTGTGTTGCTATTACTATTATGTTTTTAAGGTAGTCACAGACTGTATTTTGCCACATATAATGTGTACCTTATTTTTGAGATATATAACTGATGTGCTCCTAATTTTGATGAAGAGGGTGGGACCCAACCCACTATGTTCTCCCATTGTCCATCATTTCTATGAATGGTGATGACTTGATCGGCTACAGTTCTTGGATGGTGTCTTGTAATTTATTATGTTTTCCTTTTGCATCTTATTGTGGATTTTTTTTCATTAAAGAAGCCACCGATATTTTCTTGAGTTAGTATTATAGTATATGAGTCAGAATCAAGATCTTGCATGTCTCTCTCTGAAGACTTGCAACACTACAAGTTTTCGTGGGAAATTTGGCAAAAAATGAGCAAGCAAAAGATATGAAACCTGAAAAAAACAAAGAAACCAGTTTTCTCTTATGAACAATTGACTGTTGAAGTTTCTGTAAAACTTATTT